AGAAGCCCGACCAATCCAACTTCCTCGCTTAGCATGAAGTTGTATCTCAAGAAGGGAGGAGTAATGTCAGCTCTATTTGCTGACCATTCATATAAACTGCTTAATTCGCTTTTCTTTATTATAAATATCGCTGCCCGCCTAGAATAGTCAGTCAGTTGAATTGTAATTATATTTCTTATTTGAAACTTTGTAACGCGAACGCGAAAGTATTTCTCTATTGTAATTTAGTGAATAAATTGTTTTTTTAAAAACTTGTTATCGGCCTACGCATTGATAACTCGTATCTAGAACCAACTACTAATTTATATAAACCCCTTGGTTATCTGAACTTACATAAGTTATACAAATTGAAAATTTCAATATTTATTCACGCATTATTAACAAAAAAGAAAATATCAAATTTGAACCTTCAAAAGAATGAAAATTTCTATAATTATGCAACTAGAAAAAACAAAAATTTAAAATTATTACAATTCAGAACTAATAATATTGGCAAAAAATCTTTATTATATTCAGGCATAAAAATATACAATGGTTTACCAGAAAACATCAAAAATATAAAACCTTTGCATTTGTTAAAAATATACATTAAAAAACATTTTCTTCAATTTAATTGACTATTTGATAATATCATTTTTTATTATATAAAAGTTTATCATATATTAATCAAGGCTTTATTTGAATCAAATTATTTTTTTTTATAGAATTATTATGGTTGTTAATTTTTTATTTTATTTTATTTTTTTTTATTTTTATTTTTTCCCTGTAATAAGCGTTAAGTTTGTTGGGAAATAAAAGGAAAGATAAGATTTGATATCGATATTTAGTTAAAAATGATGGTATTTTTTTCCGCAACAAATTCACTGTCCGCATCATTTGTTTAGGTAATTTTCTAATGGCCGGTATTATAAAACACTAAACCGATGATTGAGTTTCAACCTTCGGTTGACTCCATGCAAATTGATAGGATTCAACCGAAGGTTGAAACTCTACCATCGGTTCAGTGTTTTATAATACCGGCCCTAAGTCAAGTGAAATTCAATTCCGTTGAATGTAATGGAAATGTCAGCCAATTTTTCACCGCACAGCGTCATCATTGAAGGTCGTTACTCAAATAGGTAATCACTAATCTTCCATCAAAATATATATTTTATTGAAAATACCTACAGATAAAATTGCACAAATTACAAGTTTTACAAAAATAGGAACGAAAAACCAGATTTTTTCCAACGGGACAGTCTAACAAAAATAAAACTACAAAATTTTAGAACTGCTTAGGTAGAAACAAAGGAAGTAACTTCTGAGTCTAAAAAAAAAATATTTTAAACTGTTACTACTGGGTTCTTATTCTTGAAACATGGAAGCAGCGTTCCCCGGAGAACGAGTGTTCCGTCTTTGTTCCTTATATTATTATTTTCATATCACTGATAAAGACTGAACACTCGTTCTCCTATTTCAAGAATAAGGACACAGGTAAAACTTAAAACAGAAAAATCATTCATAAACATAAACATTTTAGTCTCAATCGAAAGATAAATACCTAATAGTAAAGACTAAAAACCAAACACTTTTTTGTTAAAAAAATAAAATGGGAACTCTCTTGCACTTATTGCAAGATACACACCGTTGCCAGACTATAAAATAGGTACGTAACAAATTTTGAAAAAATGGAAAAAAGCGATATGATTACGTACTCTCTTTTACTGCTTTCTTGTTTAAAAGACTATTTCTAGGGGGGGGTATTCTGTTCCTCGAACTGCCAATCTTTGTTCACTGGGAGGAAGGAAGAGAAAAAAGCACATGAGGAGAAGATAGAAATGTTACAGAGGGAGATAAGGAATAGAGATCGGTACATTGAGCGACAAAAGCGCGGCAGTCGGGCATTTGAGAGCGAAGTATCGGAGGTGGAGGAAAGATTGAGTAGCCAGTTAAGGTGTTTAAATGAGCGTAACTCCTTGTTAATTATTGAACTGGAAGCGCTCAAAAATAAAAATGAGTCTGCTTCTCAAGAGGAGTCATGGAACAAAACTAAGTCTGAATTGCAGGCAAAGATTGATGATCTAGCTATGTCTAATAGGAATTTAATAACATCAAAACAGACTTTGGAGGTGGAGAACGGTTGCCTTGTTGAAGAGGTAAAGGAACTACGTTGTAGCTCTCTAGCGCTGGAGCACGAAAAAGTAATGTTACCATCTGGATTGTGCAAATATGATCATCGTTCTTGTGCTCCTGACGCGGTCAACGCTGATATCAACGTGGATCTGGCATCGGAATTTCATTGATCATTCTTTGTCTCAGTGTAAGGATTTTTCAGGGGATCCAAGGAGTAGAATTCTAATATTGGGTGATGAGTGCGTCCGATCTTTATGAGATTCTCTGGCTGAATCTTTGAGTGTCAAATACAGAATTGAGAGTTTGTTTAAGCCAGGTGCAACTTACAGTGATACCTTGGCTGACTTGGACTTATTTGTTAAAAACTATACTATTTACGGTTATGTTATAGTTATGGCGGGAGTGATGGAGTGAATGACTTTCTTAGGGGTAAGGTACCTACCAAAATTTAAAAACATTTGGAGTGAATTGAGGCTAAGTACTCATACTAAGTTTATATTTTTATCTACACCCACTGATTTATGTAGAAAATTTACAAGTAGTAGAACAGGACTCTCTACCCCAAACCAATCTTTTAGAGGATCAAGGATTAGATAACTTGAGTGATGATATTGAGAATAACTTGGTGGGAGATTCTGGTCATGGCAGTTTTTTTATAGGTGAGCAGGCTGGAAGTGGCAGCAAACATGATGACTTTCGTTTGAGCTTACTTTTGATGAATATTAGGTCAATCCGTAATAAAGTTAATGATTTATTTATTTCTTTGGAAAGCATTGGGTTTCCTGATGTACTGCTCGTGACAGAGCACTGGCTACGGCTGAATGAGAATTTTTATCTTGAAAATTATGCTGCTGTTTCCAGATATGAAAGGGAAAACTCATCTCATGGAGGAACACTTATTCTAATAAATCAGGATGCTGGCTATAAATATAATTTTTCTAGAGTTACAAAATATAATAGCTTACTGCTGGAGAATGAGTTTGAGTATTCCTTGGCATATAGTAGTGTTAGGAATTTGTATTTAATGTGTGTGTACAGGCCTCCTATCAGTAATCCACGCACTTTGGTTGAAAGATTGGAGGAGCTATTAAGTAAACTTCCTGAAAAATCGCTTGTTGTTATGGCAGGAGATTTTAATATTGATTATAATGATAAATCTGAGGTTACCTTGTTGTTAACAAACTTATTATCATCTTATAATATTTTAAGTCCCCACTCGCATTTCACAGTTTTCGGAGACTCTGATTGATTATGTGTGCTCCAATTTTAATAGAGATGGAGTTCAGTGTGATATTACTCCATCTGGTTGATCAGACCATGAGGCAGTTGTGTGCAAATTTAATTTTAAAAGTAAAGTAAAAAATGCTAGGAAATCCAGATATGGTAGAATCTATAGCGCCGCAAATTTCCGCAAGTTTGTATACCTGTGTAGAGTTACAACTTTTCTGTTTACAACAAAGGAAAGATTGACCACATTTCATGAAACGTTAACTAATTTGTTTGATAACGCCTTTCCTGTCCATGGAATAAGGGTTAAGAAAAGAAAGCCGTGGCTTACTCATGGTCTGCGTGTTTCTGCTAATAATCTTCGCTCCCTACATTCTATCAGAAAATATACCATTAATAATGACTTTTTGACCTATTTTATGAAATACAGATCTTTGTACAGGAAGATTGTTAGACAGGCCAAAAGTATGTATTATAAAGACAGACTTAACAATGCTCATAGTAGAATAAGGGAAACGTGGAAAATTATAAATGAATTGAAGGATAATTCAATTAGCAATGTTGAAGCAGAAGTGAATGCTGATATGTTTAATGACTTTTATTGCTTTGTCGCTGCTGGGTTGACTCGTGATTTGGTTTGCCCAGTGGATCCTCTTTGTTATCTGAAGGATGTGCATGTGAATGGAGACTGTCTTTTGACTCCTACTGATCCTGGCGAAATTAGGGAGGTCATTTGCGAGGTTGTGCGCAGGAGCAAGTATGCTGCAGGTCAGGATGGGCTCTCTGCTAAGATATTTGCTAACCTGCCCGAAAATGTATTGTTGTGTCTTTCTATGTATATCAATGAAAGTTTTGAGGAGGGTGTCTTTCCAGCATGTTTGAAGTTTTCACAGATAGTTCCTATTCACAAGGGTGGAGAAAGGAATGACCCTTCAAACTATCGTCCGATTTCCTTGTTGCCTACCCTTTTTAAAATAGTTGAGAAAATTGTCAAGCGACGTATGATGGCGCATTTAGGTATAGACATAACCTATTGGATCCTGCTTAATTTGGATTTCAGGCATCAAAGGGCACTAATGATACCATGTATGCTCTCTTGGAATATGTATATAGTGCAATAAACTCTGGTAACCCTGTAGCGGCGGTATTCTGTGATTTTTCAAAGGCTTTTGATGATGTGGATCACGGAATACTGCTAAGCGAATTAATGAGGTATGGCTTTGTGGGTAGCACATATGAATGATTTTCATCTTATTTCAGCGATAGGTCACAGAGTGTTACTTGGTTGGGGAAATCGTCTGCTTATGAACGTGTCAACTGTGGGGTACCACAAGGTGCAGTCCTTAAGCCAATATTGTTTTTAATATATATAAATGACCTTATTCAGTTCAATATAGGGGGTTGTTTGAACCCCCAAACCCCCCCCCCCTTATATACGTCCTTGGGTATTATCTATTATTACATTATAATATGGTAGGTAATGTTTATATTAATTTCCGCTATTTTAAAATTGACATATTATATATAATCAAAAGCAAATATTGTACCAGACTGGAACAATCCATAAATTGTAAATCATCAAGGTTATCTCAATCTAAAGAAAACAAGAAATATTTGCACTAACTTTATAAATAATTAAATAATATGCACTCATATAATAAAGGCAGTACGATATAAGAAATCGAGATTCAAACTAGTAGCAGCAAAAATGGAAAAAGTCCACGAATATTACCAATTCATATTGCCATTGGTAATTGAAGCTGGAAAAGTAAGGAGTTATGCAATAGACAAACAATTTCCTCATTAATAATTTCTTTAGGTGATGAAAAATGTTGTAGAAGTTAAAACCGAATTGAAAAACAACGATTATGGAGACATTGTCACCCAGTACGACAGGCAAATCGAAGAAGTACTTATCAGAAAAATCAAAGACCGATATCCTACACATTGGTAAGAGATTATCAATAGTAAATTGCTCCATAAACCAAATTGTGTTCCAGCCATATAGCTGAAGAAGAAATGTCCACTAAAGACGAAAAACCAAATTTAACCGACGAACCAACTTGGATCATCGATCCTATAGACGGTACTGCCAACTTTGCCAGAGGGATTGCCTTTACTTGCGTTTCCGTTGGATTGACAATCAACAAAGAACAAGTACTGGGAGTAGTACTGAATCCTTATTTGGACGAACTGTTCACTGCAATTAAGGGCGAAGGAGCCTTTTTGAATGGTACAAGAATATTTACTAGTGGATGCAAAGGTAACTAGTTTGTCTAACATGTATTTTTCTTGCTCCATCCGTTGAAATCCCAAAGTCAAAATACCTACTCAACCAATTTTTGCTGGATTCTTTATTGTTCCATAATTCCCTGCAGCACAATAAAAACTGGTTGAAACCTAATGGAAACTCATTGGAACTAGTCTTATAATACATTTTATTTCAATATCCAAGAGTTGTGTGACTTATCCATACCCATCCATTTTGCTTCCTGTCGAGAAAAATCTTGTCTGGCCAAATTCAAATCACTTTCATTCCAGATATAAACACATCGACAATGAACTATGAAATCACGATAGCAAGAAATGAAAAATACTACGACTTGTACATGTACCGGTTCAAGCATTTGATCAAAACCGTAGCGGGGATCTTGGCTATGGGCAGCGCAGTCATGGGGCTTTGCTACGTAGCTTGTGGGAAAACGGACGCGTACCAGTGCGACGGGTTGTACCCTTGGGACGCTGCCGCTGGTACTTTGATAGTTCGAGAAGCTGGTGGGTTTGTTTCGGATTCTTCTGGCGAAGAGTTCGATTTGATGAATCCGAATTTTCTGGCTACCGCTTCTGAGGAGCTTTGTCAGCAGTATTTGGAAGTCGAAGGCAATGCTGATGAGGAAAGGGAACAATGTTTGAGGGAAGGGAAGGAGTATATGCCTTAATTTGTGATTTGTAGATTAGAAAATAAATTGATCAAAATGTTATAAATCTTTACAGTTGCTTCCCAAAAGGTTTACTAAAAGAAAATACTCATTCCCAATTTATTTCTGTTTCTTTCTTATTTATTGAGCCTCTTAGGTTGCTGTCTCTTTATTATTTCCTTTTGACCACTCAGGCAGGCGCCGGGAATAATCATAGACGCCAGAATTTCAAAATTACTATTGGGGCTCGGGCTCCAAAAATTACCAGAAATAGAATTAATTATACAGACAAAACTAGACTACTACACACATAGGCTTGAATGGGGCCAGTTGAAAGATAACCAATTCAGCATTGATCGTCCCTGCATATTAATAAAATTCGTGCATTTTCGGTAGCTCAGCTATATTCGGCTTTGGCAGCACCATTGGAGTAGCCAGGATTTTGTCTTGAGGAGAGGGGGCAAATTTCTAGGGAGAAATCCTTGAAGCTTCGCCGCAGGCGCGAAATTTTGGTCTTTTTACGGTATATTTGGTGGGGGCAAGCGTGGATGAGGCCATTTTCACAAATTTTGATAAGAATTTATAGTAGAACGTTACTGTTATTATAATATCATATATACTGGGTGTCCCACGAGGCTTTTCCCAAATGATAACTTCGGAACACATCATCGTATGTTCCACTGTTTAATTTTTTATCATTTACTTTAACAAAGCTTTAACAAATAGGGCATTGCCGATTTTGTTATTCAATTTTCTAACAAAAAATTCCATAATATACCATGAGTTACTTTTAAGATTCGAAAGTTGACGTCACTTGACAGAAATTGAAGTGAAAGTGGTGGAATTGGATGACAGGGTAGAAGCGGCACAAAAAGTTACACAGATCCTCAAAATTTCAATTATATTAGATGACGCATTCCGAAGTTATTACCTGGGAAAAACCTCGTGGAACACCCTGTATATCAAGCTTAAAACATATATTTTGGGTTAAACAAAAAAACGACAAAAAAAATTTAAACTGAACCCATTTAGGTGATATTTGATATCCTCTTCAGACCGCCATGACAGAAAAGTTCAAAACAGTCTATTTTTTTTTTTACAATTTCAAAGCATCCTAGCTGGAAAACGAAGAGCCTGGGAAAAAAACGTTAAATACAAAACTTGTAGATCTCATTGAGAACTACAAAAAAGCTCAGTAGAGTTACTTCTCCACAAGGCACCGTTTTTGAGAAAGTCGACTTCAAAACTTTCAATACATTTTCAGACAAAATTCAACTTGTGACGGTTAATATCTCGGAGACAGTGGCGCCGACTTTTGAAATTCCTCATGGGTGCAGGATAATAACTCTATAAATTTGTCAATAGGAGGAAGGGCAAACTGCGCCGCCGGAGGCAATTTTTTTTTTTCCACGAGCGTGCGAAAAGTGATTTTTTCTGCACGCATTTTAGTCCACAAAAATATTACTTTTCCTCACTAGTGCAGCAAAGTAAAATAATTATGCAATGTTAAGTCACCCTGGTACTTTTATGTCCTGAAATGCGTGCGGAAAAGTAGGTACTCTTTGTCAACTGTCACTGTCAACCAGGGATATGCGTCTACTAGTAGACTTTCATTGTCTATTGAATTTTCCAATATCAGTTTGCTGTTTACGCCACATGAACACAATTATGCCCACGTAAACAATTCGAATTGTCTACGCGTAGACAATGAATTTTTTATGTTGACAATAGGTACATTCAGGCGATGCCAGCGGCTTAGTTCAGCCACTCAACAGGAACTTTATTCTCGAAACAGGGGAGCAGCGTTCTCATTGGAACGAAGGTTCTGTCTTTGTCGTCCGGCATAACACTGACAATGACTGAGTAATCGTTCTTATGAGAACGCTGTTCCTCGGTTTCGAGAATAAAGCTCCTGCTGAGAGGCTGAGCTAAGCCGTTGGGACCGCCTGAATGTACCCATTGTCTACAGGCACATTCCTGCTGTCAACCAATGAATTATGCGCACGAGCGAAGGCTTATTATAAAACTTTCGACAAATGTAAAATATCGATTAAAATATATCGATATATTTGAGTAATATTTTGATAGGCGATTTCGACAAGCTTTGGTTGGTATACCATTTGGTTAACCAATTGGTACCTACAACGTTATAGTAATGACGTGAGACACCATTTTGTTCCGAATTCGTTTGGTAGGTCATGAGAGAGGGGAGAAGAGACGAGTCTTAACCTAACTTTTTGCTGTTCTTTTAGTTTTGGGACTGACTGCCTGTGTCCAGACAGTGCCGACTGAAAACCATCAGCACTGACCAGACAGTGCCGACTAAAATCTATCAGCACTGTCTAGACCGTACCTTTGAGTAACCTATTGGCTAACTCAGCATTTTCTGTAAATGTTAAGCTTATTCCATTCAGCAAAACAGTTACCCCATATGTCCTTCAAAGCCATTTTTCAAATGATCGTTAAAAATTATTTGGCAGTCAGAACATACGAAAAAACAGGAAGATGAAGGCGAAAAAACAAACATATTTGTTAAAAATTTCAAATTTCAACGAACTTCCATTTATTTACATTTCCAGAGTAGGACAAAACGAGAATAGACGTAGATAGTACTATAACAAATGAGATGAACCGTGCTGCTGACCAGGGTATCCTATTTGACAGACCAAAAAGGATACCAAGGTCACGGTGACGTCATCATTCTCGCATCCGAAATTGACAGACCAAACAGGGTACCAAAGCTTGCCGAAATCGCCTATTTTCACAAAACATCTATACATAGGCTGAGTTCGTTTATTACATCTCCGAGCAAAAAGAGCAAATTTTGACGGACGTCACATGATCACTTATCTTTTTTCACGTGTCAATCACGTGACATCTATCAAAATTTGCTCTCTTTGCTCGCAGATGTAATAAACGAACTCAGCCATACATACCTATAAAGGATTTTTACTTTATATTTAGGATGACTCCACATTTTGTAAATTTCTGCTGCCAACCCAACAAAACTAAAAGTACTTTTCAACGCATTCGAAGTAGAGGAATTTCAGATGTTTTTGGTTGGCAACGGCGCGCGACGTTGCATGACTTGTATAAACATGTTTTTAGCTGTCATGACATTTTGGTAAATTATGAGAAACAAATTAGCATTGACAATATTGTCTGTCCTTGTTCAATGACGTCATCCTAAATATAACATAAAAAACCTATATTATTGCCATCCCTACCCACGCGCAAAACTAAGTTATATGGCTTACGGCGTAAGCGCCAGATTTCCCGTTGTGTGCCGAACTGTCTCGATCATTATCAAAGAATATAGAGATGGAGAATAGCAACATACAGTAATAGAGCATAGAACTGACCACAAATACCGAAAGGACAGAATAATAATACCACTTGTATAATTCTTATACAAAGTTGTGTAAATTTAAATTACACTGATACTACTTCATGGAACGGAATAACCATTTAACCAACACGTTTGTACTTCCGCATTCCCCACGAAAGCTCCCATGGGTGCACCTTCCTCAATGCCCCCATGTAGTCGGCGCCAGTGCTCGGAGACAGAAATAACCTGGAATATCAATGAAAAAAACAGTTTTTTAGGTAATTTATTGCTCTTTCGAAGGAAACCTGAGTCAATCAGTTCAAAATTACCGAAGACATGAGCGATTTGAGCGAAAAAGTGGCGCAGCGAAAAACACCAGTGTCCTTATTCTTGGAACAGGGGAGCAGTATTCCCAGGCGAACGAGTGTTACGTCTTTCTCAATGATATGAAAATGATAATATAAGGAAAAAAGACGGAATACTCGTTCTCCCGGGAACACTGCTCCCCTGTTTCAAGAATAAGGACTCAGGAGACATTTACGACGTATTTTTGGCTCCTCTATCCAGTGGAATTTTTCATTTTTCAAAATTCTCACTTTTCCGGGGGGTGTGTATGCACCATTACACGCCCTTTTCCAGAGAGGCTTAAACCTCTTCGATAAGTCGGAGAGGACTGAAACTTGGAATATCAACTTTTCTGGACCCCTTTTACTTATATTCCGAATTTCATCCAAATCCGCCAAAAAAAATATTTAGGGCCCCCAGGGGGCTTTGCTTTCCAGATGGGGGCCCCCCGTATATTCTTTTCGATAAAACTCGTACTCCATTAGAGTCGTACCAAATTTCAGCTCGATAGGACCATCGGTTCGCCCTCAGCGAATTTTTGAAATGTTTTCTATGATAAACTAGGTAAGAAAAGCCAGTGTATTGGTAACATCATGATATATTCATATGATGTAAACATACCTATCATGAAAACAACCGAAGAGGAAATAATAATCCAACGACTTATTGAAAATACAGGTTTTAATACCACACAACAAAATATTCAAACTGTTTGTTAATGTAGGTACTGTAGGTACAGCAAAAATAACGAAAATATAAAACAAACCAATAAATAGTTAGGAACTCAATATTGTCCTACCTACACTACATACAATACCTAAATCACTATGAGGGATCCGCCCCCATAGAAAATTTACTATGGGGGCTCAAGCCCTCATTACCCCTATGGTTCCGGCGCCTATGGGAATAATCAAAGTTTGCCTCACCATCTTATATATTCTACTTTATCTCTGTCTTTTTTTTAACCGTTAATTTACTTATGGCGTTTTCTTTGTCCTACTTGCCGATTCTTTGGCCAGATACAAAAATTACATACAATTGGATTTTAGCCTGTTTGTCGTCCCAACGAGTTTTAACAAACAAAATCAAAAATTGCTTAATTTATGGAAGCTCATTGGAATCATCAGTTTGTTTGATAATCCAACGAGTTTTATTGAGGATCCGGGATCCGTAACGTGAAATCAAAGTCTGTGAAATTTTGGGATCCAACTCAAAGAATAATGAAAATTTGAAACTTCTCAAGAATTGAATTTTGAAGCTGGAGGACTCATTGAAGCTTTGTTTGATATTTATTTCACAAAGTGTTTTGAGTGAATTTATAAGTCATCATAAAGCACTTTCCAAGGGAAATCAAACACAGAAAGCACTGACAAAATTTTTTTGCAATAATTGCTGTGTGCCACTTATAATAGACCAGCATTAATCACCTAACATGGCCTGGTCCCAGTATCCTTGATAATTTTGCTCAAAAAACCTGGTCAAAACGCTCTCCATGTTTGTCGCTGACTTGTTCCTGGTTTTCAGGGAAGAAATCGAGGTAGGAGTGAATTTTCAGAGACATATTTACTCCCATGCGTTGAAAATTATTCACTAGATCAGCAACTAACATAATAAATCCAAAACTAACTTGTTAGTAGTGCGAAAATAAAATGTGATGATACCTAACTTTTTTCTTTGATGTGAGAAAAATAAAAACAATACCTAATGTTTACGTTTAATTTTTGCCACTAATAAAACAATATAAAATTCACTCAAACTGTATTTTGTAAACTAGTGGTATTTTGTATTGTTCGTGCATTGTCTGTATCTAATTGTTCTAAGATTATTTGCGGATTTTCCTATATTTACCCAGCAGAATTCAATTCAATTGCGTTAGTTTCTATATAAATATACCTACAAACATCTAAAATGTGCATAGAAATGGCTGAATTAAGTGAAATCAAAACCTATTATGAGTTTATTTTGCCTAAAGTTTTGGAAGCTGGAAAGGTAACAATCATGAAGCTATATTATTAAAATATATAGCAAATCTATTCTAGATATTATTGGAAGCCAAAAATATAAAATTTAAACTAAAAAACAATGTGGACTGGGATTGGGTCACTGAGTACGACAAGAAAGTCGAGTCTGTATTGAACAAACAAATTATGGAAAAATATCCAGGACATTGCTTCATCGGAGAAGAATCCCAGGAAGACAAAATCCAATTGACAGATGCACCAACTTGGATTATAGACCCTATAGATGGTACTGAAAATTTTACTAGAAACTTGAGATTGTCGTGCATTTCTGTTGGAATGACCATAAACAAAATACAAGTTTTTGGAATTGCTTATAATCCGTTCATGGATGAAATGTTCACTGCCATAAAGGGCCAAGGGGCTTATTTGAATGGAGAGCGGATATTTGTTACTCAACAAGATGGTAATTATAATATATGAGGAATATTTATTAGGATTTATGTAATCAAATTTTAGATTATACTCAATCGTTTTTCAATTACGAAATTGGAATGGCAAGAGTCGGAGAGTATTTTTACAATTTGTACATGTTCAGATTGAAACATTTAATTGCGAAAGTAATGAAGTAAGTATAATGTAAAAGTTTAGCAATTTTTTGGAAATAATTAGGTTTTATCCAACAACAAAATCTATCTGTCCTGGTTCCTGGAAAATATTTCGAGTCATCCCAGCAATTTGAAACTTTCAGGGTTTATTAATTAGAGTTTTCTCATGATATAAAACAAATTGGAAGTTGATATGAAATTCACAACTGAAGTTGCGAATGTTTTTACTCATTGATAGCTGAGGAAATCATAAAAATCCTGTAAAATCGTTTTTGAAGGCTTTTGAAAAATACTTTGTTTCATCCCAGCAATTTGAAACTTCCAGGATTTATTAATTAGAGTTTTCTCGCGATACAAAACAAATTGGAAATTGTTGTGAAACTCGCAACTAAAGTTGTGAATTTTTTTACTTACTGATACCTGAGAAAATCATAAAATTCCTGTAAAATCGTCTTTGAAGGTTCCTGGAAAATACTTTGAGCCATTCCAGCAATTTGAAACTTTCAGAATTTATAAATTAGAGTTTTTTCATAATTTAAAACAAATTGGAAGCTGATATGAAACTCGCAACTAAAGTTATGAATTTTTTTACTCACTGATACCTGAGAAAATTATAAAATTCCTGTAAAATTGTCTTTGAAAGTTCCTGAAAAATACGTTCAGCCATCCCAGCAATTTGAAACTTTCAGGAGTTATTAATTAAAGTTTTCTCGTGATACAAAACAAATTGGAAGTTGTTGAGAAACTTGCAACTAAAGTTGTGAATTTTTTTACTTACTGATACCTGAGAAAATCATAAAATTCCTGCAAAATCGTCTTTGAAGGTTCCTGGAAAATACTTTGAGCCATTCCAGCAATTTGAAACTTTCAGAATTTATAAATTAGAGTTTTTTCATAATTCAAAACAAATTGGAAGCTGATATGAAACTCGCAACTAAAGTTGTGAATTTTTTTACTCATTGATACCTGAGAAAATCATAAAATTCCTGTAAAATTGTCTTTGAAAGTTCCTGAAAAATACGTTCAGCCATCCCAGCAATTTCAAACTTTCAGGAGTTATTAATTAAAGTTTTCTCGTGATACAAAACAAATTGGAAGTTGTTGTGAAACTCGCAACTAAAGTTGTGAATTTTTTTACTTACTGATACCTGAGAAAATCATAAAATTCCTGTAAAATCGTCTTTGAAGGTTCCTGGAAAATACTTTGAGCCATTCCAGCAATTTGAAACTTTCAGAATTTATAAATTAGAGTTTTTTCATAATTCAAAACAAATTGGAAGCTGATATGAAACTCGCAACTAAAGTTGTGAATTTTTTTACTCATTGATACCTGAGAAAATCATAAAATTCCTGTAAAATTGTCTTTGAAAGTTCCTGAAAAATACGTTCAGCCATCCCAGCAATTTGAAACTTTCAGGAGTTATTAATTAAAGTTTTCTCGTGATACAAAACAAATTGGAAGTTGTTGTGAAACTCGCAACTAAAGTTGTGAATTTTTTTACTTACTGATACCTGAGAAAATCATAAAATTCCTGTAAAATCGTCTTTGAAGGTTCCTGGAAAATACTTTGAGCTATTCCAGCAATTTGAAACTTTCAGAATTTATAAATTAGAGTTTTTTCATAATTCAAAACAAATTGGAAGCTGATATGAAACTCGCAACTAAAGTTGTGAATTTTTTTACTCACTGATACCTGAAAAAATCATAAAATTCCTGTAAAATCGTCTTTGAAGGTTCCTAAAAAATACTTTGAGCCATTCCAGCAATTTGAAACTTTCAGGATTTATTAATAATATTAATTAGAGTTTTCTCATGATACAAAACAAATTGGAAGTTGATATGAAACTCACAACTGAAGTTGCGAATGTTTTCACTCATTGATACCTGAGAAAATCATAAAATTCCTGTAAAATTGTCTTTGTAAGTTCCTAAAAAATACGTTCAGCCATCCCAGCAATTTGAAACTTTCCGAAGTTATTAATTAGAGTTTTCTCGTTTACAAAACAAATTGGAAATTGTTGTGAAACTCGCAACTAAAGTTGTGAATTGTTTTACTCATTGATACCTGAAAAAATCATAAAATTCCTGTAAAATCGTCTTTGAAGGTTCCTGAAAAATACTTTGAGCCATTCCAGCAATTTGAAACTTTCAGGATTTATTAATTAGATTTTTTTCATAATACAAAACAAATTGGAAGTTGATATGGAACTCAGAACTAAAGTTGGAAATTTTTTTACTCATTTATACCTGAGAAAATCATAAAATTCCTGTAAAATTCTCTTTGAAGGTTCCTGAAAAATACTTTGAGCCATCCCAGCAATTTGAAACTTTCAGGATTCATTGATTAGAGTTTTTTCATAATACAAAACAAATTGGAAGTTGATATGGAACTCAAAATTAAAGTTGTGAATTTTTTTATTCATTGATACCTGAGAAAATCATAAAATTCCTGTAAAATTCTCTTTGAAAGTTCCTAAAAAATACTTTGAGCCATCCCAGCAATTTGAAACTTTAAGGATTTAACAGTTAGAGTTTTTTCATGACACAAAAACCAAATTAGAAGTTGATATGAATCTCACAACTAAAGCTGCAAATATTTTGACTCATTGATACTTGAGAAAATCATAAAATTCCTGTAAAATTGTCTTTGAAGGTTTTTGAAAAATACTTTGTTTTATCCCAGCAATTTGAAACTTTGAGAATTTATTAATTAGAGTTTTCTCGTGATATAAAACAAATTGGCAACTTTGAGAAACTCAGAACTATAAAGTTATGATTTTTTTACTCATTGATACCTGAGAAAATCATAAAACTCCTGTAAAATCGTCTTTGAAAATTCCTAAAAAATATGTTGAGCCATCCCAGCAACTTGAAACTTTCAGGATTTATTAATTAGAAATTTTTCATGATACAAAACAAATTGGAAGTTGTTATGAAACTCACAATTAAAGTTGTGAATTTTTTTACTCATTGATACCTGAGAAAATCATAAAATTCCTGTAAAATCGTCTTTGAAAGTTCCTGAAAAATACTTTGAGCCATTCTAGCAATTTGAAACTTTCAGAATTTATAAATTAGAGTTTTTTCATAAAACAAAACAAATTGGAAGTTGATATGGAACTCACAACTAAAGTCGTGAATTTTTTTTCTCATTGATACCTGAGAAAATCATTTCTGTAAAATCCTCTTTGAAGGTTCCTGAAAAATACTTTGAGCCATCTCAGCAACTTGAAACTTTCAGGATTTATTAATTAGAGTTTTCTCATGATACAAAACAAATTATTGACATGAAGACCCCAGAAACTCCATACAGTGATTCATTGTGGAAATCTATTCCTTATTATTTTTTATAGTATCAGATCTTTAGGCTCATCAGTGCTAGGCCTCTGCTACGTAGCTTGCGGCCGTACCGACGCCTACCAATGCGACGGGCTCCACGTTTGGGACGCCGCCGCCGGTACTTTGATAGTACGAGAAGCTGGCGGTTACGTGATCGACCCTACAGGTACCACCCTTGATTTTTGTAGAACTTTTCTAGACTTATGCCTGTATTACATCTGTGTATTTTTCCGTGTATTTATTCATGTAGTTCCGGGTGGCAACATTATTTTGTTTTTGATAATGCTGACTTTTGTGGCGTTCCAAGTTTTTCGGTTGTCACCCTGAACTACATGAATAAATACACGGAGAAATACACAGATGTAATACGGGCATAAAACTTCTTTTTTTAAGGCAAGGAATTTGATTTGCTGAAACCTAATTTTTTGGCTACTTCCACTAAAGCTTTGGCCGAACAACTGGTGGCAATTGAAAAAGAAGCCGACAAGGAAATGGAAAAAGTTACTGGGAATAATGGAGAGTTTGTGCCTTGAAGTTGTTATGTTATTTTTGAAAAATAAATATGATTGGCTGATGTTTATGTGTGTTTTTGGAGCTGGAATTTCATAAGAAATCTACAAATTTTTCTATATAATTTTGAGAATTTTTGCAATAAGAAATAAATTAATAATCCCTACCTCTCTGTGTTCTCTATGCTGTCCATGATTAGGAGGCTGATGAGAATACTGTCCGTGAGGCCCCGAATTCTGTTGAGGTGGTCCCATATTATGATGCATCTGATGCTGTGGCATCATGTGAGCCTGAGACACCGGCGGCGGTCCCAAATCTAAAAAGAATCATAGCTCATAAAGCATATATTTCTGAGCTAGAGGTTATTTTTTACTCATATGGTGCTGAGGCTGAGGTTGTCCTTGGTGGTGAGGCTGTCCTTGATGGTGAGGGTGCGGCGGAGGCAAGCCGTGCTGTCCCATGTGTTGTTGCGGAGGTGGCGGGCCTCCGTGAGGCGAAGGTGGACCTCCGTGGTTTGAATGTTGCGGCATACCAGGGTGAGACTGAAATTGTCAACAAAGACACATAGTAATACTATTGTATGTCAAAAAGTCGTAGATAATTTATTATACGTGATACATATTATGCGCTTTAACGCTTGAATATTGTAACTTGTGTAAAATACAAAAATGTATCTACAACCAATTTACTTTAATCTTTAGGATACAATGTTGTAGATACTATTTTGTATATTACACTAGTTAGACAATATTATATCGTGCCTTTTACCGCACAAATGTAATGTGTCGTTTCTTATCTATGATCGTATTATTTCTGGGTGTTTGAGAGTCTTCATTCAATTTTCTTCTTTTTGTTTCTCAAAAAAAGAAGAATCTGATTGGTCCCTAGCACACGTGTAATGTACAACATTTTATTTACGACCGTGAGTCAAGATGTAATATATTATTCTCAGTTTTTTGAAAATATTTTCCGTTATGTTTATCAATTTTTTTCTATTCCAGGTTTTTGTCGAGTTTTCCTTATTTTTCTATTCCAGGCTACAGAAGTGCTTAAGGCTGAAACCAATTTTTTTTCCTATGTCAAACGTTTGAGATAAAATGTCAAACGTTTGAAATGGAAAGTCAAACGTTTGATATAAAATGTCAAACGTTTGATGGAATGAAATGTCAAACGTTTGTAATGAAATAACTTTCCGAGTTAAAAAAATATTAAACGTTGGAGATGAAAAGTCAAACCCAGCGGGGTCTTTGGTTGTAAGCATTAGTTTGGTTGTTACGTTACGTTATTATGCCTTCTCTGGAAATACGTAGGTACAGATCGTTTCACGATGGTTCATACTTTTGACATCGAACACGTAATATGTACTTGAAAAAAAAAGGGTTGTCGTAGATTAATTGACGATTTCAATTAAAAGAGATGAACAATAGTATGAAAACACTCATTTTCCCGCCAACATTTGCTTGCTTGTCAATGTCAATGTGTAGAGTGTTTAACAATTTGAAATTGGAAAAAGAATGTGGGAAAAGTCACTGCTTCATTTGCAAAACTTCGCTATGGAGAGGACGTCTTTTACTATATTCTATTCACAATCTGTAGTCCAAAGGTACAGGTAAATGTATCACCTTTTCCAATCAAATAGCATTGAAAGGTGATAAATTTTACCTGTACCTTTGGACATTCTATTCACAATGTCCATAGATAGACAATAAACATTATCGATCCCCGAGTGTAGCTGAAGGAAAAGAAAATTTGATAGAAGACAAAATTTTAATAAGGGATCTGATTTTCTGTGGCACATGGACGGATATGATAAATTAAATCCGTATGGAATAGATGGGTGTCATGTTATGCTTGAGTCTTTATGTAAAGAAAACACTAGTAATAATTATTACTAAAGAAACATTTATTGGTTTTCCTTTCTACCGTTACCTCACGTTATTTTCCAATAATAACATAACCTCAATTTTCTCGTATCCGTCACCCATGACGCATAAAGGTCGATTCACATAACTGAAAACAATACATATTTCTAACAAAATAAACTGAACACTCATGACATCTCTATTTCCAAACAAAGAAAAATAATAATACATAATTTCCTCAAAGTCCTTCGTGTGTTTATCTTGCCAAACAAATTCAATCATTTTTCAAAAGTAGGTATTCTTAGATTACTGGTCAATTTCGAAAGATTTGGAAGAAACTTAGAGACATATGGGACCATACCCAAATAAGTTTGCAAATCTTTTTTACATTTAGGAATTTCCATACTTTGTATAGCTTTAATCTTATTATGATCGGGTTTCAATGAATCCTTACTGAAAATATGGCCTACATACCTTACTTCATCTAAACCAAATTTGCACTTGTGTCCATTGAATCTCACATTTGCAGTTTTTGCCCTTTCCAACACTTTTGTTAGTCTGTCTTTATGCATAGCTGGATCTGAGCCCCAGACTATAATATCGTCAATAAAAACTTCTACTCCATCTAGTCCATCAAAAATATTTTTAAAACACCTATGGAAGACCTCTGGTGCTGACGACAGTCCATATGGCACTCTCTGATAGCAGTATCGTCCCCATTTTCCTGCATTGAAAGTGGTTAATAACTGGCTTTCTTCATGAAGTTTGATTTGATAAAATCCTTTGTTACCATCAAGCACAGAAAAAATATTTGCACCTGGCATTCTGCTTGCGATTTCTTCAAATGTAGGTAGTTGAAAACGTTCTCTAACTATTTCTCTGTAGACATCCTAGGGATCCAGAAAAATTTTTAGAGAATTATCTGGCTTTTTCACTACTACCATAGAACTGACCCACTCTGTTGGTCCTGTAACTTTCTTTATTATACCCATGCGCTCCATTCTATCTAACTCAATTTTCACATTTTCTTCAATATTAATGAGTATTTTTCTGGATGCCTCTGCAACTGGTACAGCATTTCCTTCAATTTTATTTTGTAAATGTGCTCCAGTTCACCTATACCATGAAACAAACCATCATAAGTTTTTTTCAACTCGGATAAATCATCTTGGCAATGACCCGCGTATATTTTCTTTAAAATATGCAACTTTTCAATCGTTGGTAACCTTGATACACAGGGAGCATTAAAGTCAATCACTTGAAATTCAATATACTCGGTAAGTTCCCTCATTTGTGAAACATTCATGGCTAGTTTGACCAATTAAAGGAATATTACTGCCACCATAGTTACTTAGCTTCATTGGGCTAGGTTTTACTACTGCTTCCAGTCTTTGCAAAGTATTTTTTTTTTATAATATGATGATTATAATTAGGTACCTACCTACAAAATCAATTTGTTATCATGGATGTCCATTTGAATCCTATATATTCATATTTAAAATTAGCAAGAGGTAAGCCCCAGAATGGCGGCATTTTCCATATGAATACATCGGATTTTAGAGAACCAATCAAAAATGAGACGGCAATTGTCGCCAGTGTGGTGTGGTATAAGAGTCACTGCATTTAATATTATTATTACAGTGATAACTATTGGTTCACTGCGCGATATGTCGAGTGTTGTGATTCAATATGGCAACATAGTTATCCTCAAGAGTTATGAGCTCTGTTCCAACAGCCATGAGAACCGTTCTATAACGGTAATTTCCAGTCGATTAATTTATTTGTCAATAAGGATAAACGTTCAACTTGTTGAAAAATAGGAGGGCAACTAGAAATTACTGGTTCTGAAACGTTTCTCATGTCTGATGGAATAGAGCTATAGACAATGGTTATAGGCTGATGGTTGATAATCTTGTCAAGCCAGCTTTTGGGGGAATTCTAACAATGTTTGTTGAACATTCAAGTTTAAATTTTTTTTTATTTTTTTTTGATCTCGCGAGGGCCCCTTGGAACGTTGGGCCCGGTTCTATAGAACCGGTAGAACCCCCCTAAATCTAGGCCTGTCCACCTTAGTCTTAGGTACAAATGATACTGGAAGTTATAGACAGTTCCATTATACACCGTTTAGGGAACCTCACTTAATCACTTTCGAAGTGGATTAAAGGGGTTAAACTAATTCTTGCAATCCATGAAAAAAAAAAGGGTTTTCATGAGAATATGAACATTTCCACTCTAGTCTCTGGTGCAAATGGTACTGGAAGCTATAGGCAGTACCAAGATACACTGTTTAAGGTAGGTACCTAAAAAGACTTGCAAATAACTTTGAATGTGGTTTAAGGGGGTGAAACTAATAATTGCGATTCATCGAAAAAAAGTTTTTATGAAAATATGGACATTTCCACCCTAATCTCGGGTACAAATGGTACTGGAAGTTATAGACAACAGTACCAATATACATTGTTTAGGGAATCTCACTTGACTTGCAAATTACTTTCGGGGTGGTTTTTGAAGGGGTAAATCTAATTATTGCGATCCATGAAAAAAGGATTTTCATGAAAATATGGACATTTCTACCCTAGTCTCGGGCACAAATGGTACTGGAAGTTATAGGCAGTACCAATATACATCGTTTAGGGAACCTCATTTATTTGACTTGCAAATTACTTTGAGGATGATTTAAGGGGTTAATACTAATAATTGCGAATCATCGGAAAAAGGGTTTTTGTGAAAATATGGATATTTCCACTCTAATCCAATCCACTTACTATCCGGATACAACGCGTGTAATAAACGTAGTCTTTATCACTTTTTGTATTAAAGTTTACCTTTTGTGAGAGAATTTCTATTTACTCGGATTTTTGGGTATAGTCCCATACCCGTCACGTATTTCGGAAACCAGTTATACGATCATCTTGGGTCCATGAGAACTTTTGATTAGTAGATCAAAATCTACAACATACCAAAATTTCATTAAAATCGTGGATTTTTCAAAATCCCATTTAAAGTGAGCATCGTCCTTAACAAAAAACGTCATCGAAGGACGCGTTATTTTTTTATGAGCAAAATATTTTTTGCTTGTGGATTAATAAAAGATTGAAGTTTAAGGAGACAAAATAAAACTTTCTTCTACTGGTGTACCTTGATAAGAATCAAAGTTCAAAGACTTTGACGCTCAGTAGCTGCGAAATTATTGATGCTGAATTGAAATTATTGGGGATTTGTAGAGGGTTTAATTGGATTTATTTTAAGCCCAATTAAGTTAAGATCGGATTGAAATTAACGAAGTAGTAAGTCAAAATGTGCATCGGTGTCATTTTGGAAAAACTCAATTTTACAAAAAAACGATATCGAGGGACGTTTTATTTTTTCATGAGGAAAATGTTTCAGGGATTGGATTGAAATTTCGCAAGTGGATAGGAAAAAGTTTGAAATTTGAGAAAACAAAACTTTCTGTATACATATTTTCTTTCATTATTTAACTTTGTAGCGTTTCATTGAAGCTTTTGATTTTATTCAGAGAAAATTCAAGAGCCTGGAATAAACAAAAAATTGAACGAAAAGAATGAGAAATGAAGGGATAAAAAAAGAGAAATAAATTAAAAAATAAAAAAGATTAAAATTAGAAACAAAAATAAAAATGCGTAAAAAAAAAAATAAAAGTAAAAAAATAGTTCAAAAACTAACCCCGGAGTGCGTTCACAATTATTGACCTCGGGCGCCTAATTCTTGCCATGTCTCTCTATTTGCTGATCTTTAAGACAAACTTGATAGAAACCTCGGAGGTAATTGTGAACGCACCCCAAATAACCGATAAATTCGAACCATAATAATCCAAAATTCACCTGCATGTGCGGCGGAGGTCCGTGTCCACCCCCTTGACCGCCGGCGGGCGGCAAATGAGGCTGATGCAAATGCGGCGGCGGCACGTTCATGTGCGGCGGCGGCTGGTAAGGGCTGTGCGGCGAGGGGCTCTGGTTCGGAGGCCCCATAGGGCTGGGAGCTTGCGGCGCCGGAGGCGGCATCGGGCTGTTTTGAGGCGACGGACTAGTCATGATTTCTTCAGAATGAAAATAAAATTTATTCAAAAAAAAAAAGGGGAGATTTTTCAATCAATAAAATTAAAATTAAAAGATGACAGCGCCGGCACAGGTGGCTGCCGCTGTAGCTATAAGAACAAAGGAACAAAGCCGGATATGATTTGAATATAAAAATCAATAAATATTTAGATTTTTGCTTTTTTAATAATTAGTGGCAAAATGCGGCAAAATCCTAAAAAATAAAATGCCTTATTCTTATCCAGAAGAAAATGCTTCTTACTGTTGCAAAAGAACAAGAAAATGATTGATGATGATGATGATTGACGGATGAAGGTCAGCTTTTCTATTTCCCGGATTTTCGTTTATTCCGGGTCAAAACAAAGCAAACCATTCCGGAATTTTTTTTAAAATTAATTTTGCCTTATTGACAATCATGCAAATTAATTAATTAAGCAATTATTCATAAGCATTTAATACCTCTTATAATTTTCCTCGTATTTTCTCCGTAAATTTGCACCAAAAACCAAAAAAAAATTCCCAATACAAAACTCGAAAAATTTCAATTAATTAATTATTACACCGCCATTTTCGCGCGGAGCCTTTTTTATTTTTTCCCCATCATGTCTGGATGGGCTTTTCGGCTTCCGCGGTTTAATTTTCCAGAGGATTTTCCAGCTACATAACAACAAGGAAAGCAAATAGGGAAAACAGAAACGGAAAAACCGGGCGCTCGCAGCTTGCCAGGGGACCAATCAAAATAAATAAATAAAAATCCTGGATGGCGGTGTGCGCGGCGCGCCGGTTTCGATCCAGGAATCGTAAATTCGGAAAAGCTTCGGCTGGATTTGGTGGGTGCATTCAACCGAACGCCTGGATAGTTTGGACAACAGTGTTTCAGGTTTTTTGGATTCTACGATTTCGAGTAGATCGGCTTGATTTTGTTGGATATTTCAAACCCTTTTTTGTTTGCAAGATTGTCTTCTATCCACATCAATTCGATTAACAAAAATATGAAAAAGTACAATAATTATTGATACATATATTTTGAAAATAAACAAAGTCAAAGTACATTTTTTATCCAGAAATTGCTATTAGACTATATTATTGCGTTGATTTTAGTACTTTGTTCAAACTATGATTTTTACTGGATTTTGAGTCCCAGGATGATCTTTTTAGAGTTAATCAAGAGCCGCTGATAGTTCAAATTTTCATTATTACTTGGTTTTGATTGGCTGCAAAACTTTACTAGAAGTAGTCAAATGTTTGTAATAGTCAAATTTTTGCTTATTACAGACGTTTGATTGGCTGGAAATCTTTTTCTAGTAGCAATCAAGAGCCTGTAATAGTCCGAATGTTGGTTCTTGATCTTATAATTCGTCTAGGTAAAGCAAATCAACGGCGATCAATAATTCAAATTATGAATTTTACTGGATCTTGAGTCCCAGGATGATCTTTTTAGAGTTAATCAAAAGCCGGTGATAGTTCAAATTTTCATTATAACCGGCTTTTGATTGGCTGCAAAACTTTCCTAGGATGTAATAGTCAAATTTTTGTTTATTACAAGCGTTTTGATTGGCTAGAAATCTTTTCTAGAAACATTCAAAAGCCTGAATAGTCCGAATGTTGATTCTTGATCTTATCATTTGTCTAAAACAAATAAACGGCGATCAATAGTTTTCTGAAGAATCTCAAGAAGGTCTTGAAAATGAAAATTTTCAGATAACAGCCTCGGCAACAATCAACTTTCAATTTGAATTTATACCAAATAAATCAACTTCTTTTCATACAAACACAGGAACAGGAAGTCATGCATCCTTAATTAGACCTTCGATTGCTGAAAAATATTTTTCGAATTATATCATCAATTCTCAAAATAAATTATTATCAACTTGTATGGGAACTAGAAAAACACATGGAAAAGTGCAAGTACCCATCTTACATGAATTTAATTTAGGAAATAATATCGAACTATTGTACAATTTTCGATGGAATAATTGGACTAAAAGCATTACAAGCTAATAATCTAAATATAGATTTCTCTAATATGTGCCTTATAAATGATTTTGATAATCAGACTTTGGAAATATCATCCAACTCGATACAATTATGCTATTTTAAAACAAATCTACTTGATGGCATAGAAATCTTGACCCCATTAATAAACAAAGATGCTTATGTTATACCAGCAACATTAGCAAAAGTTCGGAATGAAACAATACCCTTGGAGATTCATATTCTAACAGACACATCCTTTCATCTTAAATATAATATAGATGAACTCGGAAAAATAAGCTCTATTTACGAAGACAAATGTGTTCAATGTAGAGCAAATTACTCCATCACCACCTTGCGATTATGAGGATGACCTAATAACATATTTACGTACTGAACATTTAAATGAGGAAGAATATAAAGCTTTGCAACATTTAATAAAAGCTTTTCTCAAAATATTCTTAAAACCTAATGACAAACTAACTTTTACAAATCAAGTTAAACATCAAATAAAAACTCATGAAGAGATTCCGATACATAAAAAAACATATCACTACCCTTTCCTTCACAAAACGGAAGTGAATAAACAAATTTCGAAAATGCTGGAGGATAACATTATTCAACCTTCATGCAGTCCCTGCGGTCATCACCAGTATGGATTGTTCCGAAAAAGAAAGATGCCCCTGGTATCCAAAAATGGAGAATGGTAGTTGATTACCGGAAAATAAATGAGAAGACAATTGACGACAGACATCCGTTACCAAAAATATAACCGATATACTTGACAGTTTAGGGAGAAGCAATTATTTTACACTCGATCTAGCTTCTGGATTTCATCTAATTGAAATGCACTCTGATTCAATACCAAAAACGGTCATTACGAGTTTGAATGAATGCCATTTGGATTAAAAAATTCACCTGCAACATTCCAAACAGCTATGGACAACATATGATAGCAGGACTACAGAAGTATATGGACGATATAATTATATTTTCCACATCATTACAAGAACATATAAATAATTTGAAAAGAGTATTCGAAAGATTAGAAAAGTATAACCTAGAGATTCAGCTGGATAACTTAGAGTTTCTGCATAAAACTGTAGAATTCTTAGGTCATATAATTACCCCAAACGGAACAAAACCGAAAACTTTCCAGGACTAGCTGGATAATATGAGAAACTTATAAAAAACTTTGCCAAATTATAACAAAGCCACTAACATCGCATGTTTAAAGAAAGATAAGAAAACTATACATGATGCCGAATATTTTAGACTTCACATTTTTGGAAGAAAATCTATAATTCCATCTGGATCACAAACCATCACAATGGTTATTTGTCATTTAATAATAAGGATCCTAGTTTAAAACTGATACGATGGAGATTAAAGCTATCAGAATTTGACTATGAAATAATATACCTACAAGAAAGGAACCTTAAATATGAACGCGGACACTTTATCTAGACCTCCAATGCAAATCAATAATGCTATTCATTCGTTAAATCCCGATGTGAAATTAACGAATTCAGATGATGATTTTCACAAACAATTGGGAGAAATGTTAAAGGATACACCCTTGAATAATGACGAAATAATAAGAAAATATTTCCTAGACAGTGAACTTTACATGCCAAAAGCAGAAAGGAAATCAATACAAAAGACACCAAAACCTAAACCAAAATCGAAAATCAATATAATTTCACAAAAAATTCAAAAAGAGAATTCAGAGAATGAACAAACAGTTACTGCACCTTCAGATTCAAAAGGTGAACGAACAGTTTCAGCACCTTCAGAAGCAAAACAAACTATACAAACATTACAAGAAAACCCTGTGTTAGGAGCACCCTACACAAAGAAACACGTCAATTTATTTAATAACCAAATAATCTTTAAATACCTACTTCAATAACCAAATTAACCAAACAACCCTACTATGGATCAAATAATTAATTTGGTTAAAGAATACATGTCACCAAACGAGACTTATTGTCTTCATTTCTTACACAAGTTATTAGAATCAATAATACTAAGAGTATTGCAAACAATGTTTAATGCAAATTCATTTACATTATATACTTATATGTATTTTCAATTCACTCGTAGAAGACATTTCAGAAAAGGTTGAGCAATTAGAGAAAATCAAATTCTATCATGAAATGAAAACATCACACAGAGGAATTAATGAAAATGTTTCAACTCTAAAGAAAAGATATTATTGGCCAAACATGGATAAAGATGTCCAACTATACGTTAAGGTACACTCAACCAAATAGTAGCATAAATAAAAAGAAGCTGTTCTTTGATGAACAATTCATCAAAATCGGTCCAAAGACCGGCTTCTTTGATTACATGAACTCTACGTTAGTGAAGGAAGAACAATTTCGAAGTTGAAGTATGTGGCAAGGTTTTTGTATTAATGAAACTTTTCATAGTGACAATAAACATCGTTCTTAGTTTATATGTACTTTTTCATTGGCCTGATGAACAGACGGCATAATATTAATGAAGCACAGATATAATTCGATGAAACCCTTTCATTGTATTTATGAATCAAAGTCTTGAATACTAACAATTTCATGCATTGTATTTATTGATGACGTTTTCAATAATATGTATCCTATTCTTTATTTTTATTGAAATAATTTCATGCATTATGCCTTAAATATAGATAGGGGAGAGGGGGGGACATTGGGACACTACGAATATAAGTAGCTGTGTATTGCTTGGCTTTCAATATATTGATCATATAATGTTATGGTGTTGACATTAATAAGTGTACTATCTATCACCATAGGCTTAGCGCTTATCCAGTAATAGATGGATCAGATTTTGATATTTTCCCAAGTATCCAAAATTGTCCCAATGTGCCCCTTGGCTGGGGTAGATTTGGACAGGGTAGGGGCAGATGTGGACAAAAACAAACTGCTTTATTCAAAAAGTTTTAGTCATATTCATTTGGTGAATAAAAGGTGGTACGATCCAACACAAGTCGTATAAACAGTAAAAAAAAAATAAAAGACATCAAACACAATATTTTCATTTCATTTAGTTGACATTATAGGCACGGAAGTCTACTTGAAACCGCTTTATTGAACCAGACCTTGCAGTTGTTTCAGACGTTCTTGGCTTAGGTAATTTTAGTTCCACTTGTTCCAATTCTATGAGGTCTTTATCAGTGACTTGGGGAAAGGTAAATCCAGTTCCTTTCTTTCTGAGAAAATTAGTTAAATATTTTCCGTCGACTATTTCTTCCACTTCTCCAATATAATATTTTTGGGTTTTCTTCGTGCAATATTTGACCAGTAAAAAGTCACCGATTTTGATATTTGGCATCCCAGATTCAGGATCTATGATAGCGTCTACATCTTGCATGAATTCTTGGTCGGAATTTTCACGGTCCATTTCACTTAAACAGTCAGATTCATCATCAGCGTAGCTCACTTTATCCCCGGAATCTTCTGAGTCATTCGCTTGTTGCTCTACATTATCAAACAGCCTATGTTTAACTTGCTTCTTCTTTTCCTTGGCTATTTTTTCTTCTTCTAGTCTAGCTTTTTCTGGCGTCTCTGTTAGAATTCGTGATTTTCCAGGCCTTCTTCCTTTTAAAATTGGTTTCTTTTTCTCTGCTTTGGGGTAGGGCCGTATTATGTCTGGAGATATGACATCCGGCTGTAATGA